TGTGTATTATTTTTGTTCACTTTTCTATGATTCTTTAAAGACATATATTAAGCGTCACTTTTTCACAGTTTTTCTTGTCCTCCGTATTATCTCATTACTGTGCCAATCAATTGTTACAGTAGGCACAGTGCCTGTGGCCCACAATCCTTTTAGGGGCCCACAAAAATGTTTTAATTTCTTTAGAATCAGGAAAAAAACCCAAACCTTTAGGCTTGAATAAAACATGCCCCCCCCCCCCACATCAGAAAAAATGAAATGTTTAGGGCCGAAGAAAATGTATTAAGTTTTGCCTAAAAGGGGGGGTGTGTTGACATATTTAAAGTTATATATCAAAAATATTTTTTGAGATTGATATGGCTTCCTACATCAGCCCGGCAAATCCCCCCCCCCCAAAAAAAATCCGAATGCTAGACAGGCCATCTGTTATTGGAATGTTTAAAATGTATGTTGTTTATTTAATATTGCATGCTTATGGGTTTAATTGGTTTTATAACTGTAGGGAATTATCTTGTTGTTAAATCGCCCTGAGCCCCGCATAGATGGGGAAGGGCGGTTAGGAAATCCAATTAAATAAATAAATATTGTTACGATGGGAGGGGCCCACGAAGGCAAAAGTGCCCGTGGAAGTATTATGCGGCCCTGGATTGAGGCTGGGCCCACTTATCCCTTAGGCACAGTAGGCACGACGCCCAGGGCCCACGGTCCTCTTAGGGGCCTGCGAAAATGTTTTAATTTCTTTAGAATTTGTTTAAAATTGGGGGGGGGGGGGGGACTTTTAGGCTTGAAGAAAAAAATGTTTTTCCCTCACATCAGAAAAAAAAATGAAATGTTTAGAGCCCAGGTAAAAGGTAAAGGTAAAGGTTCCCTTGCTCGAAAGCCAGTCGAATCCGACTCTAGGGTTGCAGTGCTCATCTCCGTTTCCAAGCCGAAGAGCCAGCGCTGTCCCAAGACGTTTCCATGGTCATGTGGCCGGCATGACTAAACACCAAGGCGCGCAGAACGCTGTTACCTTCCCACCAAAGTGGTACCTATTTATCTACTTGCAATGTCTTGCTTTCGAACTGCTAGGTTGGCAGGAGCTGGAACTAGAGACGGGAGCTCGCTCCGTCATGCGGCACACTCGGGTCTCGAACTGCTGAACTACCACCCTTCCACAGCCTGCAGTTCGGCGTCTTAACCACTTGAGCCACCAGGAGAACCTATTAAATTCTGCCTAAAACAGTGGGGGAAATGTTGACGTATTTAAAGTGATATATCACTAATAATTTTTTTGAGATTGAAGGCAAAAGGGCTTACGGAAGTCATCATGCGGCCCTGGGTTCGGGACTCCGGCGGTAGAGTCACAAGTGAAGGCACACAACTCACTCAGAGGGTGAGAGACCAACACGTCCATCGCACAGTTGCCAACTGAGGCCACTTGTGCCTGGTCCCTCCCTTCTCCGGCCAATCCAGTTGTCCCACCCACCCCCATCACAATCTGCCTCCCCAGGAGCCTGGGGGGCGCATCACAAAAGGGAGCCGGCAGGGACTTCTCTGAGTGAGGCCCCAACTGAAACCTCCCAGGAGAGGCCCTCCCCTTCCCAGACACAGGTTTGACCTGTGGAGGACTCTGGGTTGGGAGATCCCTGGAGATTTAGGGGTGGTGCCAGGGAAGGGTGCAGTCTGGGGAAGGGAGCGTCCTTAGCGGAGATGGGATGCCATTGAGAACATCGGAA